GAAAACATATGTTCATATTAAAACTTGTACATGGGGGGGGCGCCTGGGTGGCTCAGTCTTGGGCATCGACTCTTGATTTCAGCTCCAATCGTAATCTCAGAGTCATGGGATTGAGCCCCGGGTCAGGCTATGCACTGAGCTCTGCTTGTCCCTCTCCCTCCCCCTCTGCCCCTCTCCCTGCCCGCACAGGTATGCTGTGCTCTTTCTCTCTCTCAAATAAATAAAATTTTAAATAAAATAAAAACCTTGTATATGGCTGTTTACAGTAGCTTAGTTCAAACAAATGTCTTTCAAAAGATGAATACTTGGGCACCTGGGTGGCTGAGTGGTTGAGCGACTGCCTTCGGCTCAGGTCATGATCCCGGAGTCCCAGGATTGAGTCCCACATCGGGCTCCAGTCCCACGTTGGGCTACCTGCTTGCCAGGGAGTCCGCTTCTCCCTCTGACCCTCTCTCCTCTCATGCTCTTTCTTTCTCTCTCAAATAAATAAATAAAATCTTTAAAAAAAGAGGTGAATATTTAAACACTGTGCTATATATTCATACCATGGAACACTATTCAGCAGTAAAAAGGAAATCTCAAAAGAATTATACATAATTAAAAAAGCCAATCCCAAAAGTTTACAAATTGTATGATTCCATTTATATAACATTTTTCAGTTGACAAAATTATAGAAAAAGAGAATAGATTAATAGTTGTCAGTGGTTAAGGAAGGAAGTAGGTATGGCTATAAATGGCAACTGAAGGATCCTTGTAGTGATGGAAATATTATATATCTTGACTATACCAGTGTCAGCCTTCTGATTGTGATTTTACTAGAGCTTTGTAATATGTTACCATTGGGTGACAGACAGTAGGTAAGGGTACATGAGATCTCTCTGTATCATTTTTTCAACTGTGTATCTGTGATATCATGATTTATAAGAAATGTATATTTGGTCATTCAGATGACCAAAATCTACTTCTCATATATTTGGTTTTCATCCATAGTTCCTGGCTCACAGCTCCCAAAACCTTTGGAATTTCCTAAGCCTGAGAGTGATAAAGGTGTCTTTTCACCTTTGGAAAGATGAAAAGTGACTTTGGAAAGCACTTAAGGATGGGGCCATGTGATTACAGAGTTGGAACTTTTAAGGGAAAGGGGCTGGAAGTTGAATCAAGTTGCCAATGGCTAAAGATTTACCTGCAGAGGACATGGGAGCTCTATGCCCTTTCCCCATACCCTGCCCTATGCAACATTTCCATCTATCAGGTTGTTCCTGAGTTATATACTTTTACAATAAACTGGTGATCTAGTAAGTAAAATGTTTCTCTGAGATTTGTGAGCCACTGTAGCAAATTAATCAAATCCAAAGTAGGCCGTTGTGAGAACCCCTGATTTATAACCAGTAGGTCAGAAGTACAGGTAACAACCTAGACTTGTGACTGCTATTCTGAAGTCCAGAGAAGGGGTCATGAGAACCTCCAATCTGTAACCAGTTGGTCAGAAGCACGGTTAACAGCCTAGGCTTGTAACTGGTGTCGGAAAGGAATGGTGGAGGTGGGGGGGGCCGTCTGGTAAAACTGAACCCTTAACCTCTAGAATCTGATGCTATCATCAGGTAGATAGTGTCGGAATTGAGTTGAATTCTCAGACACTCTGCTGGTGTTCTGAGAATTGCTTGGTGCTATGTAGGAAGCCCCCCTCCCCATACTGGAATCAGTACCAGAACCAGTATGTATGTATTTATATATGTATGTATATGTGTTTGTGGTATATATGAATTAAATACCATAACTAAAATGCAGAGATTTTCAAATTGGAGATAAAAGCAAGATATAACTACATGCTACATACAAGAAAAACACTTTACATATATAAATACAAACAGGTTAAAAATAAAGCCTGGGACACCGATAACAAAATTACACTAATAACAAGATGACAGAGATGTTGAAATTATCTGGCAAAGACTGCAGGCAGCTCAAATGACCATTCACAACTCTTAAAATAGACAATGGACTCAAAAGTAGAGAAATGACAGAAGAAAAAAAATCAAGAGCTTGATAGAAAAACAAAGTATTCAATCTTAAACAACAGAGAGAAAAAAAAATATGGACAAAAATCTCAGGGACCTGTGAAGCAAAACCAAGTAGTTTAACAGTCATATCACTGGAATCTAAAAAGGAGAATGAATAGAGTGTTGAAAAATACTTGAAGAAAAACTTGCTAAAATACTCCCAAGTTCATAGAAAGACAGTTTAAAGAAGCTGAGTGAACTACAAACAGGATAAACAAACAAAAAACTTACTAAACATCTCGCTTTAAAAAATATCACCTTGGTCAGTGCTCTGGACTGAACTTGCCCCCACCAAAGTTCCTATGTTGAAGCCCTAATTGTGGCTCTCACCCAATAGGACTGGTGGCCTTATGAGAAGAGGGAGAGAGAGAGAGACCTCTGTCTCCACACTATCATTTTGTTATGGCTGCCCAAGCAGGCTAATATAGTTGGCAAAAGGATTCAGAAAATTTATGAAGTAATCTACACCTATCTCAAAAATAAAAGCAAAAGTCAGGTAGTTCTTTTTTTTTTTTTAAAGATTTATTTATTTATTTATTTATTTGACAGAGAGAGACAGCGAGAGAGGGAACACAAGCAGAGGGAGTGGGAGAGAGAGAAGCAGGCTTCCCGCCAAGCAGGGAGCCTGATGCAGGGCTCAATCCCAGGATCCTGGGACCATGACCTGAGCTGAAGGCAGATGCTCAACCCAAAACTCAGGTAGTTTTAAGGAATAACCAAAATGGCACATAAATATTTTATAAGAAGTTCAAATTTGAAATAAAATTTAGGACACAGTCATTACAATTATAACTCAGGAAAAAAACAATTACATCACAAAAATTCAGGGGGGAAGCTTATAAAACTGTATTTCAACACATGGACTATGCAATTTATCTAAAGTTATGCAAAATGCATCAATAGTTGTCTTCAGTAAGAGTTCAAATTTATAGTAATGTGATTATCTGCTTCACTTTTTTTAGCTTTAACATGACAATAACAAAGTAACAAGAAACTAGAAAGCATTAAGACCATAACAGCTAACCAATTTTTCTTGGGCATTCATCTATACTCTCCGGACTTCAGTTTTGCCCTTTATAAAGAGGGTTTGTGTGGAAGGGGGTGGGGCAGAGAAGTTAACAAAGATGACCCCTTTGGTTCCTCTAAGCTCCTAAATGTGGTATATCTATGGGGAATGTGTTGCCCTATTTAGTTCTACTCAGCACCACACTTACTGCAGTTTTAAACTTAGCCCTGAAGATATGAATAAATGGGTTTATAGTTCCAAAAACCCTTCTGACATAGACTAATAAATATTTTTTAAAATGTCAAATGTAACACAGCATGAGTAGAGTGATAATCTTCCTAGTAATATATTGGTAAATACAATCTTTTTCAAATGAGTTTCCATTAATTTTCATTTTTATTTTTTGAACATGTAATAAAGTTTGCTGAAAAAAATTAAAGGTCTTTGTATTCATCATTGATATTTTAAAACCTTAATTATACAAACAGTAAAATAAACAGATTTTAATTTCTGCCATTTAAAAACTCTATATATCCAATAAATCCATACACCCTTGAGGTTAGCTGAAAAATCTCTATCAATACAAATGAGAATACATTAGCTATAAAAGTTATTATAGAAATTGGTACTTATAGAAGGTACTTCCTACCTTCTGTAAGTAACCTTTATAGAAAGAGTATTTAACTTCTCTAGTATGGAATGTATTCATTCAGGGAACACATTTATTAACTACATACTGTGGGTCCGGTACCATTCTAAGCCCTTGGGAATGATAAATGAACAAAACAAAGATTCCTACTCTTGGGGTGCCTGGGTGGCTCAGTCAGTTGGGTGTCCAACTCTTGGTTTTGGCTCAGGTCATGATCTCAGGGTCGTGGGATGGAGCCCCCACATCAGGCTTTGCGCATGGCTAGGAGTCTGCTGGAGATTACTCCCTCTCCCTCCCCTTTTGCTTCTCCCCCTGCTCATGCTCTCTCTCTAAGATAAACAGGTAAAATCTTAAGAAAAAAAGATTCCAACTCTTGTGGAGCTTTAGAAAATGGTGCAGAAGGAGACTGCTGGTCTTCTCTGATTGTCTCAGAGCTCAGAGTGTTATCTGTTCACAACATGTTTGTTCACTGAAGAGTTTCAAAACTATAAATGATATTTCATGGTGAAATATATACATCCAATTTGGCCCAGAGGCCTTGAGGCTCTTATTCCTTTCATCCTCACTATCTTTGTCCGTTATAGCTCAAGAGCATCTCACAGCCTTAGCAAAGTTAACAAGAGATAGATAGCATCCATAAGAAATAAGACATGCAAATGGCAACATCAGAATGTGCCTGCCAAATGAAATTACATGCCTGGCTTAGAGAGAGAGAGAGACACACACACCCACGACACCAACAAACAGAACTAAGAGCCGTTGTTACTGTTCCATCTTTAAGCATTTTCTATCCTGTAAGAAACTAAAAAAATCTTCCCAGAATGAATGCTCCAGCAAAAGAACCAAGCAAGGAGCCTTCTGAAGACAATACTTCCTCCAGAAAATGCAATGGAGCCTGCAGCTGTGCTCATTCAAATTATAAACTAAGTTGTCTTTTTCAGGATTTTCCAAAGCCATAATTCCATGATTTAAACTTACATGGGCAATATCACATCAATAAAAAAGACACTTTTTATACTAGCAGGAGGATACCATTTTAAAAAAATCTGCGACAATTTATATACTTAAATGCTTATTTGGCCTAAGAATACTTTTCACGGAACCGTTTTGTTACAAAGTACATCCTTGAAAATGCAATTAAACCACTAAGCTTCTCTGATTGAGAACCTCGATACTGAGGCATCCTTGAACAATTCTGGTTCTCTATATATTTATTCCATAAGGCCTAATGGCATCCCTAAAATCGATGAGAAATCCGGCCACTGCTGACAGGCACTTCTCCTACCTGAAGCTTCATTTTCCAGCAAGACGCACCAGGGAGTCCTCAGCGCAGCTCTCCCCAGCGACATGTTCCTGGGTTCATCTGCGCACCAGCTGTCGCCCTACAGCCGCCGGCAGAAACACATCATCGCAGCTGGACTTGTAAGGGCCTGCTGCAGCCCTTGGCACACCACTCCTGGGATCAAACTGGACTATTTCCTCCAGCTGATTTCCAAGGAACTACATAGTGAATGAATAATTCATGACAAGTCCATTCCAGCAACCCACTTCTGCTCTATGGTCTACTCCCCACAGCAATTTGCAATGTAAAGATTCTAAAGCAGCATACTTGCTGGCGGGCAAAGAATGAAAAGTTCACTTTCCTCGTCAATGACAGTAAATGTTAGTAGATCTGTTTGCTCTTCTTTCATGCTAACCTATCACCCAGACTTAAGAGATTTCTTAAAATGTAGGAAAGATAAATGATTAACCACAGAGATCTGACCCATACACACACAGAATTTTTTCTCCATATAACCTGCCCTACCCAGCGGTTTCTGGTGGTAGGAAAAGCAGCAAAGTGCTTGCTCTAAGATCAGCAGGTCAGTACTTACATTTAGCAAAAGACCAGTTCTAGCAGAGCACAGGAAATCATCACATGGTAGGGGAGGGGCGTTTCATATCAATGCCAGGAAACAAATTGCTCCAAAGGGGGAATTTTCCTGGTCCCTCAGGCTATAAATATAACTTTCATCTCATTGGTATTCTTCTAGGAAGAACATGAACATTCATTTTCACCAATTTGTCAGTGCTTACATATTTCCATATGAGTGATATCTGAAGTAGTCAATTCTCTGCACCCAAACACATGATGCCAAGAGGAACTTGAACAAAATAACGGAAGGCCCATACTCCTCCTAGCTCAGCTCCACCTCCAGGAAGTCCAATCCTACACCTATCATTTTTACCTGTTTCAATCTTTCATTCCTTTTCTTCTGCACTCACTGGGACTATCTGAAGCTTGTGCTCTGTCAGTAAGTTCATTTTCCAGCTGTGACTATTCTGTTCCTAGCTACTTTTTATTTTATTTTATTTTATTTTATGATGTTATGTTAATCACCATGCATTACATCATTAGTTTTTGATTCCTAGCTACTTCTAATTTATTTGTTCTGCAAATTGGTTTTCATGTGGCTCCTTGGCTCCGTATTCTTCCCTTTCACCTCATTCTGTCATTTTATTTTATTTTTTCATTCTGTTATTTTATTACATCATTTCTGAGCCTGTGTTTTATCCAACCCAGGTCCTTAACAGCTTACTCCTTAATATCCTACTCAGGAATTCTCTTCATTCTGAAGGGAAATGAGGATTTCTTCCAGAATAGACTCTGCATCCTTCTTCGGCATGTACTGTGCCTTTCCCCCCTTCCTGCCATGTGTGCAGAGGGCTCGCAATGTCTTCTTGTTGGCTCAGGCTTCACTGGGACGTTCTGCAGAGTGCCTCTGCGTGTATTAGTGTGTAGTCTAGGGGAGCCCCTCCCCCACCAGCTATGTTCTAACTGGTGTTCACAGAGTGTGAAAAAGGGAGAAGGGAACCAGCTTAGCTGGGACTAGAGCTACAAGCAACCATAACTCTGAGCTTCTCTCCCAGGGATATATTCTTTTCCTCCCCATTAATTCCCTCAATCCTTGAGAGAGTTCATCTCCAGCAGAAAGAGTCTGGCCCAGGTTGTTCTCTTTCTCCTTTGCAGTCATCATTCCTTGTCCCCCAAATCCTGACTACCCACTCCCCACCCCTACCCAACCCTGCCACCTGCAGCTCATTATATGCTCCTTCTTCCCCACTGTTCTCCAAACAGACCTGCCTGATCCACATTCCCTTCTGTCAGGTGTTCTGCTACCTCCCAGTTTACTGATGAAGATAATCAGCTCTGACAACCACCTACAACATTAGGGGAAATCTGCCTCGAGATGAAGTACACCCCATGAATGGTAGAGCAAACAGACAGAAAGAACCTGGGTCCTTGATAATGTCTCTGATATGCTGGATTGACCACCCTGAGACTCATCATTCCCTTTTATATAGACCTCCTTTTATATCAGCTAGCAAAGGATTCATTGTTTAAGCCAGGATGGGTTGGTTGTTCTGGTACTTGCAGCTGAAAGCATCCTCACAGATGGCATTTGGACTATCTATTTACATTATTAAACCCTGTTTTGTTAGCCTGTCTATTTTTAAAATTAACACAGAACTTCAAACTGATTATTAAGACTCAAGTATGGCTGAGGACGCTCAAAAAAATCAATGATTCTCAGAATTAACAGAGACAAAGATCATCTATTCCAACCCAACACAGAGCCTAAATCCTTGTATAATATTGCAGCCCTGGCTGTTTCCCCTCAACACTCCTAGGAACAAAGAATTCTCCAGCCACCTCCCAAGGCAACCAATTAGCTTCACTCTGCTGATAAATGAATCCTTGTTACTGTCAGGCTCATCATCCTTCGGCCTGAGGGGTCTACTGGAACACTGGATTTTAAGAGCAAACTAAAAAGAGGGCAAGCAGTTTGGCACAATGCTGGCGGGGGCAGTACAGCAATGGGATGAACAAGGCACACTGTGGACACCAACTCTCCCTACAGCATGAGTTAGCTGGCAGAATTGTGAATCCATTAGCATTTAACCAGATTATTTTTTTTTTAATTTTATTTATTCATTTGAGACACAGAGATACAGAGAGAAAGCATGAGCAGGGAGAGAGGCAGAGGGAGAGGGAGAAGCAGGCCCCTCGCTGAGCCAGAAGCCCGATGTGGGGCTCGATCCCAGGACCCTGGGATCATGACCTGAGTGGAAGGCAGACGCTTAACCATCTGAGCCACCCAGGTGCCCCCTCTTAACCAGATTATTAAAACTCTTTCTTATGGACTACACACATGTACAGTTCTATCCTGTGTTTTAGGACCTCTTTCCACTCCCCACTGTAAGAATGAGAATGTGAGGGGTGCCTGGGGTGGCTCAGTCAGTTAAACGTCTGCCTTTGGCTCAGGTCATGATCCCAGGGTCCTGGGATTGAGCCCCATGTCAGGCTCCCTGCTCAGCGAGGAGCCTGCTTCTCCCTCTTCCCCCTGCTCATGCTCTCTCTCTATCTCTCTCTCAAATAAATAAAATCTTAAAAAAAAAAAGAATGATAATGTGAATATAATGCAAAAAGGAGAATCTCTGCTATAAGAAGGGCCTATAGGGGCGCCTGGGTGGTTCAGCTGGTTGAGCGGCCAACTCGATTTTGGCACAGGTCATCATCTCCGGGTCTTGAGAGCGAGCCTGCATTGGACTCCACACTCAGCGGGGAGTCTGCTTGAGGATTCTCACTCTCCCTCTACCCCCCCCCCACTCACGTGCATGCACACTCTCTCTCTAATAAATAAATCTTTTTTAAAAAGGCCTGTAAGTGTTGTCAGAAACTAAAACTACAAGAGAAGATTTTGGAACATAGAGTTGTTCGAATTTTCTTATACTTTCCATGCCCTCTTCAGCAGACTAAAGTTTGGGTAAACACATCCTAAATATGTAATAGGTAAGGGTTTTCAACATTTTTTCCATGACGAACCATCAGAAAAGCATAAAAGATTGCTGGGTAATATATTAATTCTACATGATAAACTAATTCTCCAATTTTGAGATAATCATCATTTTAGTCATCAATCTATTGGTTTTTTATATATTTTAAAATATAACAAATCTTTTGAGTTATCATTCTAATTTTTCTTTTTGTCTCTCAACTACTGTCATCTATTCCTTGACTCAACTTCCTCTTTTCAAGTATCTTATGCTCTGGGTTTAAAATTCTCACTGAAAGAACCATTCTTGAAGACTTTAAAACATACATATTTTTTGGTAAAGGTTATTTCTCCAAAGATTATTTCATCTGGCAGCTGAAATAACAGATGATGAACTCACAGCATATTCCAAGTATCTCATAAAGAATTCTGATTCCTTTTGGGTGTCTGAGGGGAAAGGCCTGATTATGGAGGGCCTGGCTTTCATTAAAAAAATATGAAATAGGGCAAGATGGTGGCTGTCAGGCAAGCCCTTCCAGCTTTCATAAAGACTACATCGGGACACCTGGGTAGCTCAGTCTGTTAAGCGTCTGCCTTCGGCTCAGGTCATGATCCCAGAATCCTGGGATCAAGCCCCACGTCAGGCTCTCTGCTCAGCGGGGAGTCTGCTTTTCCCTCTCACCCTCCCTCTGTCCTCTCCCTCGCTCTTTCTCTCTCAAATAAATAAATAAAATCTTAAAAAAAAAACTCTACATCAAAGTTGGACTGCCCTAGAGTACTTTCAATTCTATGCTACAGTGCCACATGAAATGCAGGATAGAGAGCCTTAGGTGAAACAGAATACAAAGTTTGTGGCTTGTTTACAGTACACATATACTCTCCCCACTGATGACGTCCCAACCAAGACCCTAAAATTCTTAAGACCGTTACAATGACATGTCCCTGAGGCAGCAGAAAATGTAAAAGGAAAGTACCCATAACCCTGCCTGTCTGTAGTCTACAGTCATTCATGGCTTTTCTCTGTCGGCCACTGTTCTGAGGACCCTGATGATGAAATCTTGGTTTGCCAGCTCTTGAACATTCTTAAAACCTGCTCCTTAAATGTTGCCTCATACCCTGGACAAGCTATCTGGTTTGCTCTGGCCTCTACTATATGCTTGTTTGGGTCTTTCAAAGGACTGGTCTTTCTCCGATACTAGAAAGTTACCCAAGAGAGCACCCTGTGTGAGAACTTAGTAGACCTTTCTACATTATCTCTAGCACGCCAGTCCTAGCCTGGCCTGCTGATAACAGCTCAGCAGCAAACTGTGCCCTCAGACACTGGTACAGTGTGCTACCTAGAGCCCTCTTCTCACTTACCTGCCACAAAGAAGAATATTCTCAAAGCAACCAGTATCCTATCACTGCTCTACACCACAATGTTTCTAATAAAGCATGTATCATACACTAATTAAAACAACTTAGCTTTCAAACCACTGTACTTGTCAGAGAACTGGGGACCTTGCCAGGCTTATAACAGAAGCACTGAGAATCCTACAGCTACAGAAACTCTTAACAAATGTGCTGGGAAGAAGTCTGCACAAGAAAATCTTTCCCAGATTTTTCCAAATGCCTTTTTTGACCTACTCTTAAAATGAAAATACAAACATTTGAGCAGAATTATAATTACCATTTACAAAAGGTTGAGTATGTCTTCATTCAAACATGGATAGCTATATGCTACAAGGGACTTCTGCTGATGAGTAAAATATCATCCATTCTCAGGACCCTTGCACCCTGGTGCTGGAATGCAGCGTGGCTCCCCAGGAGTTCCCAGCATCCCCACTCCACATGTCCTCAGTCCTAATACTGCCTCCAAAGCTGCAGGTCCACTCTACTTGCACTCCCCTATCAACGCTGGGTGCTTCATGGATTCCAGGTATCTCCCTCCTCTGTGGGTCCTATTTTCCCCCGCTCCCCAATTAAAGTTTGGGCCTGGGGAAAAGAAAATCATTCCTACCAGTAAGGAATTCATACTCTATTATAGGATACAAACAAATAACTACAGGTAACAACCATGTGGTAGAATTTTTAAAATGCCACATCAGAGATACAAATGCTAATTTCTCTTTCTCTCTTTTACATATCTACTTGTTACAATCCATTCATGGAGGAAGAGAATGGAGAATGGAGTGGAAGAATGGAGTCCCTAATGGGCACATAAATTAGAGAATTTCTAAATACTTTATATAGACCTACTTAAATATAGAAAAAAAAAGAGTATTCACAATAATAAACATCAAAGCAATCCTTGAATACTTGACATAATATACAGTATATTATCACACTTATAAATTAGCAAACTAAATCATATCAGATTAAGTTCCTTCAATGCTAGAAAAAATTAATGCTAAATATATAGCCAGGATAAAAAAAAGTACAAATGAAGATTTGTGTGGTTTGGATAAAGCAAAATCAGACTTAGGATTCAGAATGGGAAGTAGGGTCTAAAATAGGTGTCAAGTAGGACTCAGACCTGTGCCAGTCACCAAGGGAACTCAATCACATGTTTTTGGTATGTTCTAAAGATTGATGTAGGCTATGAATTCCTTTCCAGCACACAAGAGAGGATGAGGAGCAAAAACCAAGGTGAGAAAATATTCTAGTCATATTTAAAACAATCAGCTTCACTAACAAGTACTGCTTCAGCTGTTCAAATACGCATTACTCTACGGATATGATCCATTGTAGCAACTGAGAACTGAGAATAGCTGAAAAATTAGCTTATCTTTAAATATGTTATCTTCAAAAAATAAAACAAAACATTTTTATCACTTGAAACTTACTTTGCTCTGCTCTCAAAGGTTTCTCCCTCAAAAGCTCTTGATTAAAGAACAGTAATTGGGAGTGGAAGAGATGAAATCACTTTCATCAACCTATCTATGAGTTCAAAATATGCAATCACAGGCCAATATAGCCTAGGTCTGAGGCCTCAGAAATACAGTCAGTATAAGACAGGAAAAGATAAATGGCCTAGGCAGGTATAATGAAGTAATCTGATTACTTATTAAAACATTTCCGCAAACCAGTAATTCCATTTGTCCCTCCGATGGCCTGAGATGTTTATTTCCTAGGAATGGCAGCAGAGTAAAATAAATGGATGTGTCCTTCTTCTGAGGAGGGAAGAGCTGCTGGGAGAAGAGGT